GGTTCAGAAGATTCAGACTCCAACGAGGAGTTGGAACTTCACGACAACAAGGTGGACTCTGAGGGTGAGAGGCCGCGCGTGCTGTCTCTCAGTGATGACGATGACTTCAATGTTAAGAAGAATGCTAATAAGAAGCCTGCTGAGATGGACTCAGGTATAAGATGTCATCTTATTTCTTACTAATGTAATAAATGCGTAAGTTTAAATGGATGGATGTTTGTCAGAAGGTATCTCCGGCACAGTTGCAAGGACCTTGAAGAAATTTAGCATAGGTGTAGAATGTTAATGTTAATGTTAGACTTTTCCACGGAGATAAAAAAAAATGATTCAAACCGAAACAATATGGATTGCAGAGACTAAAATTATTGTACATATTAATTTCCAGATTGCCTGTTCGACTCGTTAATAGAAGAGACGAAAAAGGAACAACCCACAAACAACCATGTGGAGCCAACCACTATCTTGTCCAGTGATGAGGAGGAGGCCGAACTCTCTCCGCCAAAAAAGAAGCCAGCACCCAAGAGGAAGCTGCTCAACACTAACAAGGAGAAGAAAGAAGATAAACCCAAGAAGAGGCCCGCTAAAGTCCTACTCAGTGCGGACAGCGATGATGATAGTATATTTGATACTAAAAAGGTAAATTACCTAGCTTATGGTCACGGAAAATATTAAAAAAAAAAGTTAATGATGGAAATGCCTCTTAATTTGTTTTAATGATTGCAGTTTACATAAAAAGTAGCCTATAATATGCCCGCGTGCATCAGTTACCTTCCCATCCAAGTCCAGTCAAAATTGATCTTCCTGTTCCGGAGATTATCAGGAACAAATGTGTTCTTACGGACAGACATACAACACAAAAATATTAATCATTTGTTCTTCGTAGCTATGCAAATACATCATGTCTACGAAATATAATTTGTTTTTCGATATTACGTACAGTCATTAATTTTATTAATGTGTTTATTTTTATGTGTCTTGTTATATTTTCAGGATAAGAAGGCGAATCCTAAGAAGAAAGCAAAGAAGAAGGCGGGGAGTGATTCAGAGGAAGAGGATGTGATATCCAGCAGCCCGGTAGCGGCGCGGGGCAAAGCGCGCGCCAGGCCGCAGGCTAAATACAACTTTAGTGACGACAGCGAATAGATCACAAACAGGTAATTACACTTAAGTGCTACTTAATTACTCCCTTAGTGTAGATTTCTAGATAACTTAGCATAGTTGGGAAAATTTGGCTAAATCAGTCGGAAATGGTTCAGTATAGGTCTTTTAAAATTAATTTTTCCATACTTTCTAAAGTAAATTTACTTTAAAAAAGGATCTTGACAGACAGACGGACGGACAACAAACTGATCGTATAAGGGTTCCGTTTTATTCTTATGAGGTACGGAACCCTAAAAAGATTTGTGTCTTTAAGAATATTTATTTTAGTATAACTTTCTTATCTGGATATAAATTTTTATTAATTATTTGTCAGCGCGGAATAAAAAAAAATCTATAATAATTATGAATGTATACTATGTCACTTTAAGATAGTGTAGATTCCCAACAGTGAAAGAATTTTCTAAATCGATTCAGTGGTTTTTGCGTTTATTCGTTACATAGAAAAAATAAAAATGTATTTATCTCCTATCTATATCTTTATGTAATTAATATTTGTTATGTTCTGTTTGCAGAATTGTGACATTATCGAGAGAGGTAGCGGTTGCGGCGCGGCGCGGCGCGGCTCGAGCTCGAGCTCGCAGCGACGAGGAGAAATACTTACAAATTGAAACTTAATGTTTTAAAATGTTTATTTTTGTATGATTGTAAGTTTTTAAACGTCACTTTACAATGAATACTTGAGAAGTGTAATCTCGTTTATTTTATAACGCAACAATTTGTGTCATTTTTTTTAAATAATTTTAACTATTTAGTATGTAAATCTTCCAAGTGTACAATCGGATACAAGGTGGACAGAATTCATACGTTTTCATTAATTTCTTTAGTTTTATATGATTAGATTCATAAAAAAGTTCTATTTTTTTGGTTCATAACCATAATAATTGGGTTGTTAATGCAATACCTTTTTTTAGGGTTCTATATCTCGAAAAGAAAAAATTGGAACCCTTATAGGATCACTGTTGTCCGTCCGTTTGTCTGTCAAGGTTCTTTTTTAATACTATTGGTAGTTGTTGAAATTAAAGCGTACAAATAAACTTTTGAGCATTATTATATAAATAAGTTGAAGAGTTTATTCAAATGCAATAATCTCAACAACTATTAATCGTTTTTCTTTTTTGAATTGATATCTCCATAGGGTAGGTAAACTCTGGTTGTATGGACATTTTCGTATGGAATTTATTCATTTTCTGTCTTTAAACAATTGCTTTTTTCATATTTTCTCTGTCTTCTCTTTCGATCTTTCTACATTTTCATCTCAAAGGATTTTTTTTATTTTTCTTGTTAATATTCTTTAAAAATGTTTAGATATTAAGAAAAAAATGACTTGAAATTGCTTCCATTCTAAAATTTACTTTTTTAACTTCATTTAAATTTTTAAAACTAACATTTTTAAATATTATCTTATATATAAAATTCTCGTGTCACAATTTTCGTTCCCATACTCCTCCGAAACGGCTTGACCGATTCTCATGAATTTTTGTGAGCATATTGAGTAGGCCTGCGAACCGGCCAACATCTATTTTTAATCCCGCGCAGACGGAGTCGCGGGCGACAGCTAGTTATTTATAATATCATCTCAAGTATTGTATGTATGGGTGATGGATGATATTGGATGAAAGATTTACGATTAACAAAAACATATCATTGAGGTTTTCAAAAGCTGCAATGATTTAAAATAGTGACGTAATTAAGTAGTTTGTTTCAACAGAATGTATTTTTTAGTATATTTTGTGTGTATGGTTGAACTCCGAAATTGATTTTGGATGATTTTGTATGTTTTTGGCGGGCCTTTGATTTTAGATTAAAAACAACAAGTACATAAACAGACGTCTGTTGGGTTTAGTATCTACTATAAGTAGAAATTAGTAATAAAAATTCACTAAATATCTTTTGGTGTTTAGTCTTACTTTAAAATATTCTGTATTCTTGACAACGTTGTTTGCTGACGTTTACAAAAATGTAAAAAAATATTATTGAAATCAAAGACGATATCGTAACAAGTAATTTGCCGTGCATTTTTAATTACTTGGTACATATCGTCGTCTCTCTTATTCTCTAAGGAAAGGACAAGACAACAATGATTCTTCAACAACTTGTGAATTTTGACCACCTTGATATTATATGTCACTGTATTTTATAATCTTTTTTAACTTGAAAATAAAATTTCGATTGAAAATTTGATAAAGATTGTAAATATTTCTATCCATTTTTGTGTCCTATCTTTGTTTTAATTAACAGTATTTTTATTATTCTTAATTTATTCCAGTTTTATTTTCGATTATTCCATTATAGTTAATAGTGTGGCAAAGCCTAATTTTTTATGTATTTTATAACTGAAAGCTCAAAATTTTTATGCAAAAATATTTTAAGGTGTGTTACAGATAAATTTTGCATGTTAAAAAACTATTGGGATTTGCCACAACAAAATTAAATGAAATTTTAGTACAATTTTAGATATTTGGATATAATTTATGTGCATCGAATTGCATTGAATTTTTATATGCGGTTGGAAATTATTTGCCAACTTGTGTCAATTAGTATTAGAGAAAAACGACATTACATTCTTCAATGTGTTAAGAATTTTGTAAATAAATTAAAATTTTTGATATTACAACGCTTTTTACTTTTATATCCTCCATTTACTTATAGTATTCTGTGGCAGTTACTAACTGTGGCATGTAACTAACATTTGTAAGGGCGCAGTTACATTGTTCGATCGTCAGTCGATCAGACTACTAATGAATGATCGGTCAATGAGCAAGCACCGTTCGGGGGCTATCTTGACGACTATAATACGGGAAAAATAAGGTATATCGCCCATCAAATAATGAAAACAGGTGAAAAGGCAATTTGTCGCACCACACATGCGGGGCTAACGACTTATGAAACTATGCCCTTAGTCATACATGGATTGCATTGTATTATTTATAATGAAAAGCAATTTGTAGTAGATTTATAACAGATGCTATTACTACGAGAAACTGGCAGCGCGGATACATACAGTATTCTCAGAACATACGTATAAATTAATTTGAAAAGAGATACTTTGATGTTATTAAATTTCACTGATTTTTGTAGTAGCGTAAGTGTATTTGATAATGGATAGAGTAATTCAACAACTGGAAGTATCGTCAGGATGGCCGAGCGGTCTAAGGCGCCAGACTCAAGGCAACTTGCCCGCTCAGCGGGTGATCGGGCGTTCTGGTCCTCTCTGAGGGCGTGGGTTCGAATCCCACTTCTGACATACTTTTTGCTCATAATCATACAAAGCACATTTTAATATATTTCCATAGGAACCTAACATTAAGTAAAAAAAATAACACAATACATAAACAAAAATTATTTATTAAAATATTGATTATCTTCAATTTAAGTTGTAGATTATTTTACATAGTTATTTAAATATTAAAATCCTTTATATTATTGCGTCGAAGTTACAAATAATTAATAAAAATTACACACGCATTAAATAAAGAAAAATAAATTTAATATGGCAATCACTTCATTGTAACTAGATTAAAATTATTCATTAAAAAATATTTACACACATTGAAGGAGCAAAGATAATAAATATTTGTAAATATGGACATAAAAAATACTTTTTACGTTTTGTAACTTGAATTAAATTGATTTTAAAAATATGAAAATTGCTGTGGAATAGCAGTAAATACTATTCTTAACTATATTATTCCATTTACTTTGTGAATACAACAAACATTATTAGTATTAGTAAAGCTATATCCATCATTTTGTCACACAATTAATATTTTACAACTTACATATATTATGTAATTTTAATCATTTGAAATTTTTAATATTTACATTGTACTTTTAATATAGAATTAAATCATTGTTAAAACCGTTAATAATGAATTTATCTTTAGAACTACGTGATTAAAATAGTTAACCTTCTCTATTCTCTGTTTGATATTAAAAAAGAAAGATGGCGTTCAATTCAATAGAAAAGATTTCCCAAACAAAAAATGCATTTAAGAATTCTAACCTAAAAACTTCTTTCAGTACATTCATATTTGAATGGTATTTGTGACAACATTACGATTTAAATGCGGCACAGTACCTCAATATTTATAACCTAAGTTGCATTCAGTACCTACTTAACTTGCTTTCTCTGTCAGAATAACCTTTAGCACTTTCTCTATCAGAATATTTTCCATTATATTTATTATATCTATCGCTGTGTCCGTTCTGTCTGTAGGGCTTTTCACTCGCGCTGTAGTGTATTTCTGAAGGTCCAATAGTCTTGGACCAGTGGTGAGTCCAGTAAAAATCGTCTGGGTACCTCGGATATGGGTTTTCTCTGCAGAGCACAACGCAGTATATGAGGCTGCCGACGAGAGTGATGAAACCAAATATCAAAAATACTATGCCAAGAATCCTGGAAAACAAAAAATTTAAATAATTATAAAATGTCATCATAATTTTTTAAAATAAAATTTATACGTTAAAGATTATTAATTTTTAAATGGAACATAAAAATATTCTCTGGCCTTTAACAAGATAAACGATAGGTCAAGTGGGCGGGAAACTGAATAAAAAAATTGATTGCCGCCAAAAAAGCGTAATGGCGGGAATTGTGGAAAGCAACGATGGTCCATGAATGTCACATTGTCATCCAAATTGCGTGTACCGTTGGAGAGTCGGTGAGTTATATTTTTTTGTAAATTCAAATTGATTTTTAATGTACGGCCGAGAACAATCGTTCACGCTCCGCGGTGACGTCGGATAAAGAACGGATAAAGTCGCGTTTCGTTCTAGTTCTGATGCGATTGCTCAATTTTTCCGAATCGTTTAGCTTTTTACCATACTCCGCTGGCACGGTTTACTCAGTTAAAGGTTATTAAGCGCAGTTCACATCCTCACAATCGTTTCCCACGCTATACTAATGCGATAGGAATTAAAAAGAAATTATTATTTTTAAATAAATTAACAACAAAAATACGACCATTGTAGTGACTTTAGGGTAGAACAAACTATCTCCCAGGACGCCAGGAAAAAACAGTACTTAGTTTGATACATATTTAAATTATTTGAAGTAAGTTTAAGTACTAAACGTTAACATTTATCGTTGCAACTTATTAAAGCACCGTATATCTAAATAGATGGCGTTGTTAGCTAAAATTAAGATACTAACCATACAAAGAGCGGCTCAAAGAACTGCAGCACGATGACGAAGCCCAGGGTGACAAGGATGAGCCCCAAATTGAGCAGTAGCATCAGACAGCACATTCCTTTCACGTTCGGACAGAACGGATTCGGTGCTGCCATCGTCTCCACTTTCACCCCCGCCTGAAAATATTTATCATTAATATCGATTGTCTAGTGAGGTTATTTCACTGTCCTCTATAAATGGATTGGCTATAAGATGTGGTAATTTGTGCCTATTTGATTTTCGCCATTTTATCCCGTAGAGGGTTACAGAACTGTCAAATCATCTGGCGCTTTTAAATCGGAACAAAGCAAAAACTGTCAAGCAATCACCTATCCATTTATAGAGATTAATTTGGATTGCAATTAAAAAAAGATATGTAAAATAAAAATTTTTTGTTTACCTTTCTGGAGACCTTGGAGCGATGTGTAGATGCGACAGAGGGCGCCACCGCGCTTCTGTAGGAGTACACGCTGCGAGGTGCTCGCGACTGACGACTGTGGAATGAAAAATCAATTAAACTAAATATATCTTTAGTTAATTATCTATTCAATGATAACGCATCAATTGTTCGTTATAAATTCAGTTAATAATTAAGCTATAATATTAAAAATTGTTGTTTATAACTACTACAGGTAGAAGAATTAAATTCCCATAGCAATAACCTAATTGACTCACTAGTTACTCTTATATAAAACACACATCAAAGTTTTTATTGTTGATAAAAACATACAAAAGCCTCGTCAACAGGACAGCACTTAAATTAGTTGTCTATTTAAAGGTTGATTATCTCAATCGTCAAAAGAAAAGAAAAGAAAACGTCTTTAAGGACCCGTCATTGTAGATGTGAAGAGTTTTTTGTTCAATAACAAAAATAAACCCTAACGAGGCACGTATCGCTTAGTCATGTGACAGACGTTTAAAATAAGTTATCGAGTTTTGGTGAAAGGGTAAATAAATTTTATCCTTTGAACGATTTAAGTACGGGCCCCTACTATGTGCATATAAACAAAGCCGAAAGGAATAATTACGAGTGATAACTGTTCGATTTTTTACTCTATCTTTTTAGATAGATGACAATCTATCCGTAATACAATTGAGGACTAAGGTAGATTTTCAATGTATCACTAAATAAAGATCGTAAATAGTTAAATCCATTGAATTTGTTAACAGGTTATGTATTTTTTGTGCGAAATCGAACGATGTGAGTCAAATAAAAGCGAGAAACAGACCGATGGTAACCGCTTTCAGTACTCGACAAGTTGAACGTCAGCTCTTAGAGTATTGAACTTTAATATGTTAAAAAATGTCTAACAATAAGAATGAAAATAAAAACCTTTGAGCAATTAAAAACTTTGAATATTAGCAATATTATTGTTAAAAAGAGCAGGGCTGGCCTTAGCATTTCCGGCGTCCTGGGCGACATGTTTGCGACGCTCCTTTTTGTGTTGGGGGAAATATTCCAAAGATCGGGACTTTATCGAGGCGCCCATTTATATCCTACTCCGGCACCTCCTTATGTCCTTAAGCGGTCGTTCCACCTTGCTCTACCGCAACTATTGAGAAAGAGCGTATTTTTGAGTATAGATGTTAGGCTATTTGACTCAACATTAGGTTCGATTAACATAATTATTATTAAGCTATTACTGAGCTATTCCTTTTAATAATTACAAATCTGTGAACATAATCTTTCTTCAGATCCCAGCCTATCTTTAATTTAATTCAAGATTACTCGTTCCAGTCGGCATCAACAAAGGTGCGTTATGAAATCAAGTTACAAAAAACTTCTGGGAATCGGGAAACAAATTATATCTAACATTGGAATTCTACTACTGTAATAACCATAGCACGGCATATTGGTATCTCATTTTCTTTAAGGAAAACGAAAGAGTTAACGATATGTTTAACAATGTGTTTCGGCGATGAAAATGGTACTGGAATGCGATATGGTCACGGTGGCAAGGACGTCGGAGTAGAAAGTTGCTGCACGAAATTCGTTTCGTTAGTTTTAACATTTTTATGTGAACTATGAAAAGAAAAAGGTGACCGTTTACAATGAATTTAAATAATATAATAATACGCCACTATCTTTGTTTTGACAAAAAAGTATGACGATATACAGGGTGTCCCAAAAGTTTACGTACATAGGAAGGGGGATGTTAGGGGTGGTTACAAGGGTCACCAGAAAAATAAAATAAAGATTCCCCTCTGGGTATTAAAAAAAATAAATGGCATTTTTTAAAAACTTAAAAATTTTACACCTTCTGGGGCAATTTTAATTTTCTTTAAAATCTTTGTTGGTTGTATTGTTTTTTTTTATTTCATATTGATAAAGGGTTATTGACGATAACATAATAGCTTTTTTTAAATATAGCAATATTTGTAGGTCATCGGTTACAAAATTGCCTCAGAAGGTGTAAAATTTTGAAGTTTTTAAAAAATGCCATTTGTTTTTTTTTTAATTTTTCCGGTGACCCTTGTGACCATCCCTATCAGCCCCCTTCCTATGCACGTAACCTTTTGGGACACCCTGTATAAGTGTAAAAAACATATTTTGGTTGGAGTTTTCTTTTGTTTCAGATGATTGAGAACCTAGATGTAGATTTTATAGCAAGAAATATAAAAATTAAAACATTTTTTTTCTAAAGTATTCATCGCGAAAAATAACATATACTTTTTCTTAAAGATAGAGTCTCAAGTAATCATCTTATACATTTATTAATGTTTCTACGTAAAATGTTTTTTGTAATACAACTTGCATACTAATTACGTCATCATAGTACTATCGATAACCGAGTGTCACTTCACTACTTTTTGTCATTACATAACCAGTTAACTTTATATTAACATAGCTTTTTCTCGCGAAATAAAAAATAACTTAGTAAGTAGCCTACGTGTTCTTCCAGAGCCTTTTGTTCTGCATGTATGTCAAATTTCATAAATATCCGTTGAGCCGTTCCGGAGATACCTTCAAACAAACATCCATCCATCTAAACCAGTGGTTCCCACTTATTTTGTCTACTGCCCACTTTGAGAATAAATATTTTTATAGCGCCCCCATATCTTCACATATTTAAAAACCACTATAACTTCAAATTAAATTTATTATTGTGACCTACATATGTATATTAACCTAACCTAACCTAACCCCCCAGGACTCTACACAACGCCTCCATTCTCTTTCTGGGTCTCTCACCGCCTGCAGCGACCTGCAAGCGCCCACTAGGGGGCGTTATCGCCCACTTTGGGATAGACTGATCAAAACATTCGCATTTATAATATTAGTAAGATAGTGATGACCATTCACTACGACTATGTCATACGAATTCACAAGAAGCAAGTTAATAATTTAATGTTTTTTTAATTTTAATTCACGAAAAAATTCTTTATTCTTTACTTATTATTTGAACTTATAAGTAAATATCTTTGTGTAATATTTGCGGTGATTCATTCGTACTACGGTACATACAGGAGGCATCCCAAGCGGGAATAATACAATAGGGTTGTACCGGTTGACCTATACCGCGCTGTACCAAACCACTTCGGAATGCGGACCTGATAAATACCTAGACTCGATTTTATTATAATCAAACACTATAAGAGTACAAGTACAAGATATATAATCATTTTAGTGTTATTATTATATCTATTACTGAAGCAATAGTTATATATTTTTGTGCAATATGACTTGTTCTAAACGCTTATGCATCTATGTCACTAATTACTATAATAATATTATAAATGCGAATATTTAGAGTTATAGATGGATGGATGGATCGATGTATGTTTGTTTGATGGTACCTCCAGAACGGCTGAATGGATCTTGATTAAATTTGGCATAACTATAGAACATAGTCTGAAAGAACACATAGACTACTACGTTTTTTTTCATTCCGCGCGCACAGAGTCGCGGTCAACCGCTAGTTTTATTATACATAAGTTGTGCGCCTGTAGGTTCGAAAGTGTGACATTTTCACAATATTTCTCGTTGTGCGTGGGAAGAATCATTGACAATATTCACATACCGTGCCGCGACATCTTGCGGCGCGGCGTGGAGTTTCGGTTTTATGATTATTGTCGCTAACTGTACCCAGCGTACAATGTACCATCAACTACTTTATGCATCGACTGTACTAAATACCGTGAACATCTAAGCTTATTATAATTTTAACTTATGTATTGTAAAGAAATTGGAAACATTTGAAGAAATATTTCACCTTAATGGAAAGTAAAGTCGACATTGGATATAAAATTTATCTAATAAGTAGGAAACCAACAAACTTTGCCATTAATACAAACTGTTACGAATAAAATCCGACACTGTGCCGGTGTACTGGCACAACACTAGGCTTACTAACATATCAACGTTCATGTCCCCTCACAAATTTCTGTCACTTGACTTTGTAATGGAAGCGCACTATTCGCGCCAAACGAATCTAAAGAATAGTGTCTAAAAGAACATACAAGCAAGCAGTTTTTTTTGTTTAATACAGTATAGTTGTCTGCAAATCGATTTAGTAAACTGTTGGTACCTTAATATATTTGATTAATATATCTGTAAATTCGTTTTTTGTAAAAATTAAAAACAATTTACGACTTCCGTGAATTATTTTACGATACTGTTTTGTCGGATGTAATAAATCGTAGAGAATGCCAACGAATGAATAGAATGTTGTAATGTAGGAAATAAATCTGAGATTGAAGAAGCCAGATGTCGACGTTACGGTTATTTTAAGATATTTAAACGATGTTTGCGAATATCATTTGAGCGAATTTCATTCATCAAGTTGAAAGAAAAAGATTTTTCTCTTGCTGATCTAATGTTTTAGGTGTGATGTTTAGTATTTCAAGATGAAGATAAGTTTTTTATAACGATATCAAACCTTAAACCTATTTTTTAATGAGACAACACACTAAAGGAACACAAGAAACACAACACTTTTTTTAAGAGGGGGAATGCGTTACGCATACCGGGTGCCTCGGGGAAATCCACTCCGGTTATGTGGGACTCTCTCCACATCCCTAAAGAGACAAGGAGCATACCCACTAAACCCCCTCTGGTTCCCTCGACTCACTGTTTACCGGGGTGTGGGCACATGTGAATACTCTTCGCACACACCGGTCGGAGGAACACAACACTAAAGGAAAAGCAAATGCGTTGCCGCAGATTGTGTGGGATATAAGCTTTTGGTCGCTTAGAATCTTATCCGTTTTCGTGTTGAAATTAGTACTTATTGTTACCTAATTTCAGAAGGTGGGCGATAGGCGGCGCTAGTGACGTACACATCGGAGTCAGCACGCGGCGAACCGCCAGTCTGGTGCCGTCTGCCATTGCGATGTTCTCCCGAACCACCGCCAGAGGGAGACCGCGTCCGCTCGTCTATCGTCTGGAATAAATAAAAAAACACAACACTATTTTATTCGATCCTAACTTATAGTCGCTTAGCTGTAACGGGTACTAAGAGGATAAAATAAAATACAGAAATTAAAAAGATATAAACAATTTTAGGGGTCACGACAACTTTAAAAGTAACCAATGGCTAACATTTATCAATATAATAGTATTATTATACACATTGCTATGTCGATTTATGATATTAGGATCATCATCATCATCATCAGCTCACTATACGTCCCCACCGAGGGGCTCAGAGCCTACCCTAAGTTAAGGGTGATTAGGCCATAATCAACCACTCTGGCCAAGTGCGGGTTGGTTGACTTCACACATGTCTATGAATTTCTTCTCAGATATGTGCAGGTTGCATCACGATGTTTTCCTTTACCGTAAGAACGTCGGATATTCGAACCCAGGACCTGCAGATTGCAAGTCAAGTGCTTGACCACTGAGCCACCGACGCTCGCATCGACATCGCATATTAGGATCAATAAGTGGAAAAATTATTATAAATAAAAAAAAATAGTCAATTCTCAGACTATATTGTTTCATTTAAAAAAAATTCAAATAAAAATCGACTCATTGTGGATCAGATAGTAAAATTCCGATCAAAGATACGTTTAAACAAGAATGTAATTGAAACTATTGCGCAACTAAACTAACAGAAGGTCAAATACGAATACAAATGAGAGCTAAATCAGTACAAAACGAGATATTTAATACAGTAACAGTAATCGAATAAAAAGAAAATATTCGAAATCATATTCGATTGCAAAATGATGACTCGATGCGAATACATAATTAGATTAGACTCGATTTATCTGTCTAGGATTGATATGAGAAATGTACGAGGGTGCAAGCTACAAGAGAAAGCGGAATAAAAATGTTAAAATCATTGTTTTAAATAAATAAAATAAATGTTATTACTAATAATATTTATAAGATATAATACTAACTAAATATGACAACAGGACTGAAATAAACATTTTTCTTCATGCAATACAGGAAACATATTTATATAGCGTAATGAAATGGCTAACCAAATACTGTATTTCGTTTGTTTCATAAAATATCACCACCATTATACGATTCTCTGTTGGCTAGACAGTTGCTCACTAATCAACTAAAATACTAGCCGCAAGGCTAGGTGTCTGTAGCCTGGTGCAAACGAGGGTTAAGACTTTTCCAAGCTCTCAGACATTATAAAGGAAAAAAAACAAGTAAAGGGTTTTATCTTACTTGCACTTAGATAAACCTTTTCCTTGTTCTTTTCATTATTTTCATTTATATTTATTTAGCGGGAATTATTAAATCGCTTGTACTTTTTGCTGTTAAATGAAAAATTAGCACAATATCTGTCTTGCAATTATTATAAAATGATATCCGCTGTCCGCCTATCAATTAACTCCGCAATAAAAGTCAGGCGTCAATCAATATGAAATGGAATGTTACATTTTCTACAAATGAACTATGAGCTTTGAAATATGTTTGTGTGTTAGAAATAAATCTTATTGCGTACATTTTGCACGTTGATTTATGTCAAAATGACCTTGCGTTTATTTGCTTATTATTAAAGATTCACTACATATGATAATGAAAGATAATTCATGTAATATGTTACAAATGCGAATGTTTAAATGGATGGATGTTTGTTTGAAGATATCCCCCGAACGTGTGCATGGATGTGGTGCGCTATAATTTTGGTATAGTTGTAGACCATAGTCGGTAACACATAGGCTACTAATTAAGTTTCTCTTTTAATTCCACGCGGACGGAGTCTGCACAAGAACCCAAAAAGCCCTGACACCTGTATAATCATATTAAATAAGACAATAAAAATCAGGTGGATGCGTCGTTTATTCTTTTTTTAACTTTTTTTGTGACTGAGTTAGTCACTGTCTACCTTGAAGAGGCATCATCAGCTTCACCGGGCTTGAGGTGGCCGAGCGCAGATGGCGCTTAGCCTAAACCTCGTTTAAGAGTAACAAGACTCGAGGGCTCCCTCAGGAGCCTCGGCTCGGGCTGTTACTTCGTTATTATTACCGGATTGGGAATCTTTGTTATGTAGTCACTCGTATATTATAAAATAGTAAATGAATAACTTACGGTAGGTTTCTGAGTACAATCACCGATTAAAACATATAGCACTCTTTTTCACTCTTTTTCTTTATAACAGAAGGGGGCTAACGAGCAGCGGGAACACCGAGGTGTTCAACGACGCCCATGGACATCAGCAATACCAGAGGAACCGCAGATGCGTTGCCGGCCTTTGAGAAGGTGATAAGCAAAGCTGATAAACTCTTTTGTCAAAGATAGTAACAGTGGTGATGATTTTTTTTTATAAAGAGCTTTTGGTCTCAGAAACCCACGGCTAGTAGAGTTAATACTACAAAATTTAACTATTTAAAAGATTTCTTACCGTATATTCAGATAATGTCCTCTCGGAGGGTGCCCGGTGGCTGTCGTTTTCATCTCTCGACGAACCTCTATGTAGGTATCCGCCAGATGATGGCGAGTCCATTTCTGACCTGTGCGTAGCCACGTAATGGTTGTTCTTCACTTTATGCGCCATTTTGAATTTACCACTAAACCATGTTCACGATAATTATCAATTAACGTTTCATTTTTTATATTTTCATATTTTCTTGATCATGTTATCTGTGTCAGCATCGAATCTGTAACAAAGAATTTAAGAATGTTTAACCTTTTTTTATCATGTTGTAGTAAGTTGTGGTTAGATAGCGAACACAAATTATTAACATTGTAAGGTAGTTTTTACATCCGAGAATGGACCAATATTGCCAGCGTTGAACAATTTTTTCGCTTGTCACAGGACAGGAAAGGGTTCGCCGAGCTGACGGCCAACCAACAACCAACTATTTAGTAGAACTTAGTCTTTTACTTTGGCTATCGTCGTAATTTTTTTCCTGTCAGAAACAAAAGACTTTAGAATGGTTTACGGAAGAAAGGGCATCGTATTTTTCATTTTAATATATTAAGTAAAATTATCCCCTACAATTGTCAATCATTACTGACCCAGAATCAAAGTAATTTATTTTCATTCGAATCATCCTTGATCGTGATCTTACAAGCGTACTTTCACTGATCCATTTATCATGAGTATCGATTCCAATTGATTCGAATCATCGTATCGATTGCGATTCCTTAATTAAACCGATTCGGGTCAGAATGTGATTGAATCGAATAAAAACTTTGACTGGCACATCAGGGTTTTCTTTTATTTTTAACAATAGTGGGAACTCGTATTGTCGATTTTATGTGAAGTGGTACAGTCGGTAACAACAATGTTAACGGCTAATTGTTTTTTTTATCTATGACTTTTGATTGATTTTTAAACGAGTACTTGCTTAAATTGATTCTATTTGTTTAAGTCGATCTGATAAAAGTATTAGAGCTTGGTTTGGAAATATATTGTCTTATTAAAAAGAAAGTTAGTCGTAAAGGTCAATTAGATTTCAAATGCGTTTTTGTTGGTTACTTAAGTTTTTTTTAATTTTTAGTATTAACTCTGAGTAATAAAGAAATTAGTGATTTTTAAATATTTCAAAAGTTCGACTAAAATTTGTTTTAGTCATGTTATTTTCTAATACAAGTTAAGAATAGCAACTCTTTATAAATTGTTTCAAACAACAAAAAGCAGTGCTTGTTCAATACAAAAACAAACACAAGTGTTGAGTCAGCGAAAGTCCTTCCGGGTTGTTAAAGGAATTATAGAGAATGAATGACAAAGGTAAAATAGCCCTTATCTATAAGAGCGTAAGGTACAGTAAAATAATATTGTTTACAAAAGGATTTACAAGTCATGTATGGAGATGCACTTTCACGCATTGTGAGCACGAACGCTAATGGAATAACAATTACTCTATTTGACTGACTTCTGTGTAACTGTGATTTGCACAGGTCCAATCACCTTTTGTGTAGAACTGTACAGGGTAAATAATTTTCCTATAGTATAATTAAGATTCCCACGTGTGCCTTTTCGAAGAGATGAAAATATTATAGATTTAGCTGTCGACTCCTATGTGTTCGTCCAAACTGTGTTCTACATCTATGCTAAATTTCAGCAAGATCGATGCAGCTGTTCTGGAGATATCTTGAAGCAAACATATAGACATCTAGACATTCGCATTTATAATATTAGTAAGAAGTAAGATTATCAAGTATTAGTGTGACATTAATAAAATCTTCATACAATTCATAGGGTAAATTAATTCATTATCAATGTTCAATTTAAATCGATTATATATTTGAGAACGTCACTTTTACTACAAAGTTACTATAAAAAACCTTGAACTTTGTACAATCCATTATGGTATTTATGTCTTTTAAAATAAGTTCCTTTTTTCTTCAAAACTATATTTAGAACCTAAAATTGCGTTGCGTATTAAACAATAGCATGTCGATTGCCAGTCGATTAGTGACGCAAAGTATATCGATATTATATCGAATACAACTCGAACACTTGTAATATTAATGTTTCCAATATATCTTATTTCAAGTGTGTAAAAAAATATCTTCTATTACCGTATCGAAAAGGGGGAATATTTCTATGATATTTAAAAAAAATAACATGATTTTAGACAGAGGGAAGGAATGCGTCAGACGTCACAACAATGTACTGTTAGGAAGAAAATCCGAAAATGTGGCAGTGTATTGACCCAACACTAGCCTTACAAAAATGTTGACGTCTATGTCCCCTCACTATTTCTTCTGACACTGTGTAACGAAAGCACGTCATTCGCGCCAAAGGATTCGAACTAATAATATCTTAAAATACATGTGTACAAGTATGTACATACATACCCTAGACTTATGTTCAACAGTTTTGCCTAATTCTATTTTGCAATTGATTGTTCAACTCTCGAATATTTTAGCACTTTAGTGCTCGAAATTACATCTACACTATCGCATTGTATTTAAGACTTTAAACCATCGCTTTAAAGTCGATATTAGTTTGTTATAGTGGAACTATTCCTATTCTCCGGGCCATTTTACATTCTTTGTGCCGTTTGCTTTACGACTTTCCATTTTAATTGCATATTTGTGTTAACAAGTTCAGTGTAAACAACAGAGTCGTATTCTAAATGTTGATTTTGCTGTGAAGCTGTTGTTTAGTGTTATTGTACTCGTTTAAACACATTTCAATGATACTAATGGATGACGTCAATTTAATTGTTTTTTTTTAATTATTATAACATTTAAAAGAATAAGATTTATAAAGATGAGAAAGTTTCGATGGAGGTCTAGATGAATGAATATATCTCTGAAACGGCTCAATGGATATTGATGAAGTTTGGCACAGATGTAAAACATATTCGGAAAGAATCATCATCATCAGCCTACCCTAACTTAGGGGTGATTAGGCCATCGTCGACCACGCTGGCCAAGTGCGGGTTGGTCGATTTCACACATATCTTTGAATTACTTCAGGTATGTCCAGGTCGCATCACGATGTTTTCCTTCATCGTAAGAACACATTGTTACATGGCGGGATTCGAACACAGAACCTGCAGATTGCAAGTCAAGTGCTTGACCCCTGAGCCACCACTGTCTGAACAAATACATAAGGATAATTGCGTTCCTATTACGCGCGTCGAGATGCGGGCGACAGCTAGTTATTTGACTATTTTGTTACACGCTTGAAATTAAGATGGGTTTTTAAGTCGGATATCAATATAGTTTAGTCTTTTTTTATGTTTATCTGAATAACACAATTGACTCAGAATAGTATTCGCTTCGTTTCCCATTTAAGGAATAAGCATTCTGTTGTTGGTCAATTGTTTAGGCGTTAGAGTCCAAAGCCTAGGTCTCAAGCACAACTCACCATTCATGGTATATTACAAATACCATCTATTGTTTCTCCTCACGATTTTATATTAAACTAGCTGTTGCCCGCGACTTCGTCCGCACGGTATTAAAGACAATTAGTAGCCTGTGTGTTCTTCTAAACTATGTTCTACATCTATGTCTTTCATCGAGATCTGTTAAACCATTTTGGAGATACCTTCAGATAAACATCCATCTAAACATTCATCATCATCATCAGCTCACTATATGTCAATAAGTTAAGAGTGATTAGGCCATAGTCAACCACGCTAGCCAAGTGCGGGTTGGTTGACATTCACATTTATAATATTAGTAAGATTAAATTGTAATTTTCTTCTTGTGTAAGATCAAAGCGCTAACAGTGAGATGGTTAAGTGTACGAACATCCATTATGTGGTTGTGGGTTCAAATCACTATCTATATTACTAATATTATAAATGCGAATGTTTAATTGGATGTATGGATGGATCTTTGATGGTATCTCGGGAACGGCTCAACGGATCTTGATGAAATTCTGCACGAAAACATACGCTAATCATTAAGTTTTTTTTAATTCCACGCGGATGGAGCTGCGGGCAACAGCTGGTCAAATTATATTTGTTATATTATTGTTTTTTTATTTAATCAATTTGTATCGTGTTGCTATTGTGATGTTAATGAACAATTGCTTTTGTAAACGTATATAATTAACGATTTCCCTGCGGTTTCCTCCGGTCTGGTTAGATAGGAATTTGTTAAACGATCCATTGTCTTCCTTTAGTACCGTATTTTGCGTTTAGTACTCAAATATTATATTAGTAACATAGTTCTTGAAAGCTGTGTTTTTAATTTTATTGACATAATATTTATTAAATAAGTGTCATAAACAAAGTACGGTATATCCGTAAGATTTTTGGTTAATAATTTGAAAATTTATGTGAATTTCTCAATAAATCTTACTAATATTATGGATGGATGGTGATGGAATTTGGCACAGATGTATAATATAATCATGGAAAACACAAAGGATACTAATTAAGTTTTTTTTTAATTCCGCGCGGACGAATTCGCGGGCAAACAGCTTGTTTATGTATAAAACATCAAATATGTAAACGTAGGTTTTCACTGGCGTAACATTTGTAAAGAACATTTTTTTCTACAAGTGTTTGACCAATGGAAACACGGAATAAACTAAGCCATCTCCAACTCATACGAAGGATCAATTTATTCAAAATATAATATCATCAATCTAAAATAGATTAAGGTGTTTGAATACATTTGTTACATGATCAGAAGCCATGTTACATTGTTACGTCGTTAAACTTTTAACTTTTTTGTAACGCAACATCGAATTCAGATTTTGAAACGCGTGAAGCGATGATTAGTAGTTAAAGGTATCTTAATTTAAATATTATCTGTGCGTATAGCTTTTTATAAGTATGTTTCTTTAGTTGATAACGCAATTCTCAAACATAGTTCAAGATCAGTCAGAGATATTTGGGGATCAGATATTATCTCTACAAACTATGCCTAAACATAATCTTAAAATATATTAAGTCATAGACAGCCCAAACAACTTCAATAGACCATAAATCATAGAATTAATTGCAATACAATTGCCCCTGTATTCAAATATCTTCCATGTATAGGCCAAGTGCGCATTTCGAGAATCAAAGCTATTGATTCAATATGAATTAGTTGCGTGTACCACAATGGTCGTTAGAAATTCCGACGTATAGTACTTGTATATTTGCATAAACTCCTGCTTGGTTTCGCTCGATTTGTACTAACGGTACCGTCTTCCTGCGAATTACCTTCCTGCTTCCATTGTTAATCGTGAATTAAACAGGAAATATTAATAATTTCAGTATTGCCTTTTTGCCTGTATTGTTAAAAAGGGCGTACCGAGCATTTTTTGTCTTGTGTTTGTTTACCTAAATATTAAGGGAATTATAACGCAATTTCCCCCATTTATCACGATAAGTGCTTCATATGATATTCATGTGCTACAAGTCTTGGGTTCGAATACCGCAATCTACCAATGTGTTTTCCGATTTATAGATGTATATTATCCGACGTTCTTACCTTGAAGAAAAACACCGTGCAAACTTGCACATATCCGCGAAGAAATTTCAAAGATATGTGTGAAGTCAACCAAGATGCACTAGACCAGCATGGTTGACTATGGTCTAGTCACCCTTTACTTAGGGTAAGCTCCGAATTCCTCAGTGGGGACATATAGTGAGCAGATGATGATTGTAGTGTATGCATAAACGTAGTGTTGTTTGTCTCGAGCGTACACGCCATATGTACATGCCGGAGAGAGGGGACGTCAGTCGATGTCAGACCTTTGAGCCGGCAACACGTGTCGGTACGTGAACGAGCCAAATATAGCACAACGAATGCTACAATGATGATTATCGCTACTTCTAGGCAAAACTTAAGCGTAAATAGGATTTTCCATTGCGCATTTACTAACGTGACTATATTTGTTATCTCAGAAGCGTCTACATTACAAAGTTCATCATAAATTCGGTAGCCCATTTCGTGCAGTCCGTGAGAGGCAATCAAAGAGCCGTCAATCTATAATTAACCGAACGTAGCTCGAACCGACCTCTAATCATCGTGTTACCTTACAAAGAATTAATGCACTTTTTTCTTGTTCCCAAACGTGTTAAGATACATTATTATGTTAACGTAGTTAGACTTTGTTGTGCCGCTGGTCTTGAATTCCCAGTTAAAGTTTTTTTATGTTTGATTTTGAAAGCGGCAGTGATGGTTATTTCTTCGAATTTGAAACTTCGAATCGTGAGAATAATTGTAGTAAGACCAATGTCACTAGTATTATAAATGCGAAAATTTAGATGGACAAGCCGTTCTGGAGATACGTTCTAACAAAATAGAAGGTATCTCCAGAACGTCTCAACGGATCTTGATGAAATTTGGCACAGATGTAGAACATATTATGAAAGAACACGTAGGCTATTTATATACATCTAGAATAAAACTGATTTATTAAAATCTTTATAAAACATTTAAAGCAGCGTCTACATGTTTAGTAATGAAGTTGCGTAGTATTTTGAAGTTTAGGACCTTGTTACGTTTGGCCTTTGCATAATGTTGCTTTTCGATTGGGTTCAAAATAGTAGCATGGCCCTTTCATTATTCGTAACAGGAAGGTGAAAGGCGTACAAATAGAATATTATTTATCTCTAATTAGAAAATGAAGAAGCCGCATAATCGATTAGATTTAAATATCGATTAACAAAATCGAATTCTATTTGGGAGGTCGATTAATCGATATTTTGTAATTGCCTGCAGCTAAAGAGTTAACCAGATATTGAATTTATGATATATGCCTACCCTACATTATTAAAATTAATTATAAATTTGAGTTAAGTATATGTTTTAAACAGAGTTGGTCTCAGAAAGCCATGGTTAACGTTGGTTACTTAGGATGACCCTTAGACTTACTAAGGGGGACCAAGTAAAGACTACAGTAAGTCTATTGAATACCGTAAAGATAACTGGCTAATAGATAAATTGATACGATAGAAATCTTTGTATACGTTTTATTCTTTCCTCTGGCAACTTGTAATTGGTATGTAAGTATAGTTTGCGTGCCCGAGAGAAACAGGGGAATGTAGGTAGACATTATATCCTGGCGGGTGGCAATTTGACGCGGTAGGCCGGAGAACACTGGTGATGCAACGGTTAACTCGATGCCGTGTTATTATTGTGCCGCTCAAACACGTGTCTTCGAGATCTTAACGAAGAAATTTGTATAGCAATGGGGTTAGACAAAGTGCATTCGCTACGAAGCGATTCCATAACGAACTTCAAAAATGTATAGAACTGACAATAACTTTCGATAAGTCACGTGATTGTCGCGCGTCAGTTCGCTTCGAAGCGAATGCACTTTGTCTAACCCTGCTATTGTTAATAGAAGCCCTGTTATTATGTTTTTCATCGAACATTTTCTAAATTTAGTGAAAAGCTGGACTAAGGTAATAAGTGCACAGTATTGATATGCCTCCGTAAAGATGGTTAGAGATTAAGTGGTTAATTGTATTGATTTTTGCTTCTTAAGATCCCATGAAGCCCCAGTCTCAAGTAACTTGCGATTTCCATATCTATTTGTATCCAACAAAAACAAAAGCACTCAAAGTCATTGTTACAACGAAACAATTAGTTGCGACATCGACACCGGCCGATTAGTTACGCACGCTACGGCTATCTGCAGATTCTCTGACCTTGGCTGCACATTCTTCTACAAACCATAATAGTTGTACTAACAAATGAAACAAAACAAGACACTATCGCAAAAGAACAGAGTTCAAAATCGAAAAGACTAAGTAATAAAACAAAACACGACTCTAACAGAAAAGTGATAAAGTTCAAAATCCAAAGCAAAAGTAACAACAACAGCATTTTAAAAATTGTTACATAACCAAAAAAGGTGGAACTATGATGATATGAACAATCAAAAGGTTTACAGTCTTTTATATTCTGGTTATCAAGGCGTATGAATAATATCGAAATTGTGAATGATTTCAATGCATGAACTGATAATTGTTGGGAATTATTGCATGTATTGTGTTAAGAAATAACAATTAAAGTGTTTGACCGTAAAACTAAAAGGCAATTGAATTTTCTCCACCAGTTTTCTACGAATTATTGCTTAGTTTTCTTGCAACAGTTGGTGCATCACACGGTATTCCACTTTAAAACCATTTGCGCAACACATTGCTACCTTATTGGTTTTGTCTCTGGCGGAGTATGTTCCTTCACAAAGAACGAGGCAATTTCTATAAACGGTACACTGCAAAGGACCCTGACTGTACATATTAAAGATGTAAAAACCCTAAAAATATTTGGACATGGTATGTCTTTATACAAAAACCACAAACAAGATTTAGCTTTTATTTGTTATTTATACAAAGGTAATTGTCGATGCGTATTAACAATGTAACAAGGTACAAATCTTCCCGAGGCCGTCACGAGGACTAGCGGCTTTTTATAAATACAGCTACCGGCTATGTGTTAGGAGAAAGTTAATTGTAAATAAGACACTTCTGAAAACCATTATCCCTTATAACGATTGTATCTTGCCTTTACAACTGGGTTTCCACTGCAGAAGCACATGCATAGTAACATATTGCCATCCTTCTCATTCTCTACGAAAAAATTGCGACAAAATACGTTTCTGTCCTTGTGTCGTAGAAAGTAATGATTATTGTAAATTGTTGAAAACTCGTGCAGCAATGTACCAGGAATTCATAGAACATAAAGTTCATGACCATTTTGTAATTGTGGAGCTGCGGCCGCGCCCTGTCAGTTCTATGGTGGCTTTTTCGTAATCTAATTTCTGTATCTGTCTGCACGTACTCAATTGTATTTACTATTTGAATATTCTAAAAGGTTTCTGTATTGACAAGCCACGTGATATAATCTTGAAGGAGGTCCAAGTTTTAATTGATACCTTTTCTATGAACAGCTTTAGATATACTGAAGAGAAGTTTAGTTGACGATTACAACAATCTTACTAATATAAATGCGAATGTTTATATGGATAGATGAATGTTTGTTTGAAGATATCTCCAGAACGGCTTAACGGATCTTGATGAAATTTAGCACATATATAGAACATAGACTGGAAGACCACATGGGCTACTTTTTTTAATTCCGTGCGGACAGAGTCGCGGGCGACAGCTAATTCTAATTATGTAATACATCAGTGAAAACTATACCTGAATAGGTTAAGTTGTTTCTGAGATTCGCGTACACAAAGACACAGACAGATTGACGTAATTTTAACAATCATTTATGAAAGAAATATAAATTAAAGTAAAAAATGGTTGTTCGCCACATGATGACTACACGAAAGATAATTCGTTCAAATTCAGCTCTTGCTCCGCTGCTGGTTCTCATTTGAACCAGACCCCATAGGATTTAGTATCAGTTTCAATAGGAGTCGTTGCAAGTCTCATTTCCACGCTGTTAACAATTTCAAATAATTGAGCTTTAATTTGAATTTGATCTTGTAAAGGGAAAGTTTTTACTGTTTTTGCCATACTGATGAAAAAATGAAGCAAAGGATCATTCTCGTTTCTATTTTGTTCAGCTCTTGCTAAGTAATCTTGTAGAACTTCTGGTGTATGTAATTCTTGTGATGGAACACAGCTAGAATTCCTATCTAGAATTCTCGATGACGTTGCAGATTCTATGATAAGTGGATTTGGTGTATCAGTTAATTCATTGTGATGTATACTATTTGAATCAGACTGTGCTTCAAACTGTGATTCGTCGTTATTATTAACATATATTGGTGATAGATCTGTTTGTTGTTCTTCATCATCGTTAACATATGGGGCTAAGAAGGCAAGTTCTTGTGAGAATTTAGGTGGTTTTATTTTCGATGCTGCTTGTCCGCTTTTTGTCTTGCGTAAATTCAAAGCCTTTCTATAGTTGTCTCTGATTCTAGTCCATCGCTCCTTACATACGTTGCCTGTAACAATTTTTTTTAAAGTACTAAGTCACTGGCAACTTTTTCACTGACGTCATCAAAATCGGCAAATGTACAGTGCGAGTAAATTTGTATTCAAAATGTGAAGTCATTATTCATATCCTATAAAAGGTTAAGGATAGTGATACAGATGACAATATCTTTTATAAAGAGAATTTGATTTCAGAAATCAATGATAACTATTGTAATCGTTGCATGCTATTTGCACTTTAAAGAAATAACACATGTCACTGGACATAAAATAATTTGACCACTTCTATTGCGGAAATGGCAGGATTGCAAAATCTACGAATTATTGGTATACTCACGCACAGCTGCTTCAGCAGTCCGGGATAGCTCCGAAAGTTACTTTAACTCGGGCGCGTTCGAGCAGGTAGACGAGTGTGACAAGTTAAAAATATACGCTTACCTTTTTGTTTTAATCTCTTTCCGATTTCGTCCCAGATAATATCCCTTCTTTGGTGGTTCGAATAATCAGGATGATTAAAATTATACAATTCTTCATATCCTTGCACAATAGCTATAAGTTGTGTCGCGTCCATACTGTTAAAACAACGTGATGAACGAACGTCAAAATGCAAATGGCGGACGGCTGACGCGAACGCGACGCGGAGCGAGCGCGCGGGGTGGGTTCATTGATCGGCATTTCGTATGACGTCATCCGCTCGGCACGCATCGTAGTTGCCTCTTGCTCATTACCGTCGGAATCGTACGAACAACGCTCGGCAGTCCGTTCAGAGCGAGACAAACTATGCGAGCCGAGGCGACGAGCCGCGAGCCAGCCGGTGAGTCGCAGAGGCCCAATCAAACACTCGCGGCCTATTATACCAGACCGCGCGCTTTACACTTCATACTGTCCGTTGTCCGTTCTGCTTGCAGCTCAAAACGCAAATCATAACTCTATGCGGGTTCTTAGTTAAAATAGGTACAAATTTCAAATACGAACACACTTGTGTAAGTTTTACTAAATACATTAAAATCTGTTTGTTGCGATACGTCTGATGCGTCCGATGCCGACTCTAGAAGTTTAGCTTTACCAATTCAAAGAAATCCATTTTTATAGACCAACTGACCTTTAGCAAGGATATAAGGCTCAAGAATACAAGAACTATAAAGTGTTCTAGGAATCTACAAAAAAAAACATTGCGCCAAAGCTGTTGTTTATCAATTGGTTGTCATTTTTTTTCTGCCTCTGTCACAACACTCATCGGATACAGCACGGAAATTCTGCACGACTCTTCTATATAGTTTTGGTAGTGCAGTGAACCAATGCAATTTGATGCATTAATATGATCTTATTCGTACAAAGTCGTTTAAACTCTTAAATACCATTCTGAAGGTAGATGCAGTAGCAATACTTCGCATCTGGCTTTTTGAATTCTGACTGGAACGGACCTGGTAAGCTTATCTAAGCCTATAAATGTCAAGAGTGACAAGTTAAGGCGCCCTCGCGTCGGACAATAGCAGCAATATCAAACAATTTACAATGCCGTAAAACTTTGCGAACGGCACGCCTTTAAACCCGAATAATGGTCCTTTATCAAAACTGTTGCAAATGGCCTTAGTATTTGTTTCATCTTGAGATTTTAAATTGATCTTATCCATCTATAAATCGTATTCCATTCTGTGGAGCTTTTTCTTATCTTCGTAATTACGTTTTGTATAAACAACGCTAGGATGAGCCCTACCAATATCTGTTTTAAATTTAAGCACATACAATATGACTAAATGCCAACGAAAGTCAAACGAATATCTTTTTATGAGGCTATTTTTATAATTTATATTTGTGTATCTATTACATGATAGTAATTTATTAGTGAAGGCCGTCCGACAAAGTGGCCGTGCGACCTTACAGGCCGGCTAACGAGCGTGCAATGGCAGAGGTATGCGATCGTACCTGTTAGCACTATCGTCGATCTAGGCATGTGCCGGCAACGCGCAGATTTATCGACATTGCCCTCTGCCCGAACTGATGCTATTACTTCCCAACAACCATTAAATCTATCGATATTTTGCGGTAATCTGCGCAATTGCAATGATCTATTTATAATTCGATTTGAACAGCAAATGCTGGAATTCGTTTAAATAAGAGCTATAAAATAATTTGTCGAAACATTTGGTTACGTAAAAAAAGAAACTAAGAGAGTGTCATATTGTGAAAACTACGATTTTCTTTAATCTTTATCACTGATTTTAATTTATTTACATAATGGGGAGTGAAAACAACCTTAAAATGACATAGCAGCATAACACAGGGCTTGTCACGAATAATTGTGAGCGTTACATCATCAACATAATTTGTGCGGCGCCCCTACCGGGCATAAAGTACAACAAATGTGACACAAACTTTTTCGAATACGTTCTCGTAACTTTCCCGCAAATATTCGTAATAGACCCTTAGTTGAGAAGTGTTGGAAACGTTAGAACTCTGCTAGACTAACTGTAGCTCGGAGCAGGTGTGCTCCGCAGTTAGTGATGATTGCACGATACTTATCAACACTCGATTCCGTCTAACTTAGGTAGCACGCACAGTGAACGCTTCTGTCGATTTTTCATCATAACATGACGGGTGACCTTTAAAAGTTCCTAATATGAATAACCACTCGAGTTTTAAGAAGCTCAAAAGGAGAAATGAGAAAGTATGATATAAATCTACCCCACATTGTAACTTGTGTCTAGTTTTAAAGTTAAAAAAGGCTATACCACACTTGTATAATATTTTAGTGGTCACTTTTTACTACTTTAGCATAAACTACAGACCTTCGTTTTTCTTCTGATTCTTTAACGCTAATCATTTATTCATTTATTTACAAATATAATAAATAAAGCTCACCAAATTTCCAATGTATGTAGGTCGTCTCTAAGTTGTTGAACTGAACTGCGATCTATTCTGCAGTGTTTATCTGTAAAGAAATACTTACATGTTACATGGCAACTTAAAAGTGGACTAAACGGTAATTAACTTACATTATACTTGTCATTACCTTCAACAACTTTAATAGAATAAGATGAAAGCGTAGAGGAATTAAGGTTCTCTCCGAACACTAAATTATGGTACTCATTATTGGTAAAAATGTATTTACGTTAATATTTTAAATACAGCTTTTGAAAACACGTAATCATAAACCGTCAGATTGTCTATAGTAATATTTATAATTTTACAATATTTCTTATTTATTACGATTACTTTCCTATTATACGACTCAAAATATTTTCTCTCGCACATTTAAACAATTTATCTATTTCGATATAAACTCCAAGTTTAATATTTCTTTGTAATGCCGGCAGTAATCTTAAATAGATACTAGCCCATCGTTAGTAATGGCACGAAATATAATTATCGACTGGCAACACAGTCAGAGGGTTGTTTTATGATGGCCAGGAGCAACGGTATCTACTCTTTGTTTTTAAACGTAGTGTTGTCAAGGGTTATCGATATTCTCTAGATTGAAGATAATCGTTGTACTCTTTAAAAAAACAAGTGTCGAAAAATGGTTTTTTCTTTTACAACGTATGAATTTTTAACTCTATTTCTCTTCATTGTACACCCACTAAGGATCTTCTGTGGACCCCAGGGGGTCTACCTGGATCACTTAAATCACTGTTCTAGATAAAAGCATATCGATAGTTTAGATTGTTTGTTATCTTCCGGATTAACTGTTCCAGTTGTAGTGATGTCCGTTAGAATTTATCGAATGCAATGCTGTTAATCAGACTCGATAGATGTCATATATCAAGTTGTTGATAGCTTTATGTCCTGTTTTATTGACAGTACACGAATACATTTTATGATAATTCGAGTTAGGCTATAATCTAAATAATGGTATGTGTTCTATAAGAGATATTTATAGTATTATGTTGAATATTTAGAGGTTATATGGTTGAAAAATGAAACTTTGATAACTAACAAATGATTGACATTTTTATTGAATTTTCACACTGATAACGATTTAAATTACGATGCCTTCTTTTTTTGTGACTGAGTAGTCACTGTTTGCCTTGAGGAGGCATTTACAGCTTCGCCGGGCTTGAGGTGGCCGAGCGCAGATGGCGCTTAGTCTGAACCTCGTTTAAGAGTAATTACGATGCCTATAACACTAAATGCTGAATACAAAATATTACAAGTCTGGTTATGTATAAACAGTATATGTATTTATGTAAATTAAAATATATCGATAATTGATTTGACATCTCTATAGTAACAAATTAATTTAATTTATTTGTCTGAGTAGAGATGTTCATCGCAGGTGGTCATTTGAAGTGATATAACAGCTCCCTCGTGACTCAGCGGTGGGTGTGCCAGATAGTTACAGCTCCTAGATTCGATTACTCTTGGTTCAATGTTTATAAAGTAACAGCTTGCAACTTGAGAAATGAGTTGCGAATGATCTAATGATGTTTAAAGTCGGTCAAATTGATCTATATTTTAGAGTCAATCTGAGGATTCTGTATGTTTTATAATTATAGTTGTAAAAAAATATTGTGTAGCAATTGTGTGCGATAATTTGTCTCCTACAATTTTAAGCGTAACTTTTTAAATCAAACCTTGTTTTAAAGAATATGTTTTTTCAAGTAAAATCTTTGTAAAATCACTGAAATGTCTGTATTTTCCTTATTGGGATGCCATTCTAATTAGTTGATCCAATGTCTCCAGCCTACGCTTTGTATCGGAATACCTTGTGTCCAAATAAGTCATTAGAGGTACGGGCGTGTCTAAGTTTAATTGGTGGCCATGTATCGCACCCTGTCGCTGTCTGGATGTCAACGTTTTCATGGTATAGAGAAATAGCTTCTACTAGACATTTTCACTTCGTTAATTGAAGAATAAAATGAATACATTATACTAGAAATAAGCATCAAAATAGTTTGCGGGCTTTCAAAACAAATGACTGACACAAGAAGATGAGAAGAGAGATTTAAGATGTCTAACATAATAAATTGTCTCTCATAGTTTAATTTTTAACAGCATAATAAGTAGGTGATATTATAATTAAGAACATATTAAATTACTTATCCTAAAAATATGTAGTTTGTATGTTCGGACGAGGATTTTATTCGTTAAATTTAGTTTGAAAAGACGTAAATCTATAAGTTTTATCCGATCTTATAACAGCAATAGAAGTATTTTAGTGCAATGCCCTCAAATCGCAAGGGCTTAACCACCTGCGAAGACAACGGAGTTAAACGGAGCGTAGTCTGTAGCTGTTAGGTGTAGACGAAATAACGGTGCTAAGATAAACCGCCCGCGGATCGGGGCCCGCAACGCCACGGAATTGGGTCGGAACCGAATCCGCTACCAATTATTTCGGACGACGATGTTGACAAGTCTTTATCTTTCTATCTTACTAATATAATAAATGCGAATATTAAGATGAATGGATGGATGGATAGATGTTTGTTTGAAGATGACGGCTGAACGGATCTCGCTGAAAGTTGGCATAGATGTAGAACATAGTCTAGAAGAACACGTAGTTGAATTAATAATTAAATTGTTGTTGGTTAGATATAACTCATCGGTGGTATACTGACATAAATATAATATGAACAAGGAAATAAAAATGCTACAATAATCCTTGCAAAAACATCAGACATACTAGTTGCGTTCTTATAAATCTACTCATAAATAAATATTCAGTTAAAAAAGTAAATATGTTCTTATTTTCATTGCAATAGAGTTCATTGTTAATTGTATTTAAACATACAATATTTCCGAGAAATATCAATGTTGCCAATCGCAACTAATATTTTATATAGATGATATATCAATAAAATAATTTGTTTATTCTTTATTAAGGAAATATGATACGTTACGAATTTTAAATTAGGAATGGAACAAGATGGCGGATACAAATTTTGTTTCTGATAAAATTGTAAAACAAATGACGTTGCCATTAATATTAATGTGATAGGTTTTATTGTCGTAACTAATCATACTTATTGGCTATTTTAAATTAACTAGTGAATTAAATCATGACTCTAGCCGTAGGTTTCCATTGCTGAAAAACACCTAAAAAGTATAGTCTTATCGCTATTATTTTTAAGAGAATGAGTGGGATGTAAATATGTTTTTATAGAAGTGTTTTTTTAACAATGGAAACAACAAGAGTACGATATTATTTCCATAAATTTTACTAATATTATAAATGCGAAAGTTTTGATGGATGGTTTGAACAGATCTCGATAAAATTAGGCATATATAGAACATACCCTGGATAAATATATCGGCTACTAATTATGTTGTTTTTTAATTTCGTACTACGAAGTCGCGGGCAACAGCTTATATATAATAAACGCTTAAAAGGTATAGACCTTGGATGCATTTAAAGTTAAATATCAGTAAATCGAAAACCGATTTATATGTGTGTTCAACGTCAAAATATAGTCCATATATGCCAATTATTTGTATTGGCATTTGGCAAACTATACAATAAGGAAGTAATTAATGGACATCATACTAGTCTGATAACATCAACAGTATGCAGTAAAAAATTATGAACAATTAAATCATTGAGTCTTTGTATTCTTATACTAAATCACCTGGTTTAATTTAATATTGATAATTTACTAATATAATTGCTTATTCGATTAGAGGTAATAAAATTTGTGGTCTAAGTACGTAGGTACTTTTATTTAGAATTCTTTGACGCGAATGGCGCGCTTGTGTTACCAAGTCAAAACACTAAAAAGAGAGGGAAAATGAATGACAAAATAAGCAAGAATGGGATGCTAGAAATGTCAAATGACAACAGTTATAGACCGACAAGGATGTCTGACTCGGTGGGCATAAGTCAAACAATCTCATCGGGACGTCTATGTTTGCCTATACGATGTAGATTATCATAGGGGAACCTTATTATAGGGGCATTCCACGCCAAGCGGACAGTCAAAAAACGTGGATGGATGGATGGATGTTTGTTTGAAGGTATCTCCGGAACGGCTCAATAGATCTTGATGAAATTTTGCACAGATGTAGAACATAGTCTGGAAGAACACATAGGCTACTCATAAAGTTTTTTTTTTTTAAATTAGGACAGAGACTTGACATATATTTGACAGTGGAATTTCAATAAATTAAAATTTCCGCTTTAAAAAACCGCGATATCTTACACATTGTACCGCAAGTTCAACGCAAGGCCGTATTCCGTGGGAACCGCACTGGTCCAATAGATTCCGCTTCATCTCGTTCACAGCTTACATTAACTATATTGCGCAATTACACTTTATTGATAGTGCGATATAAACCAGGACACGGATATCGATTATGATTTTCTATCAGGTAAATTACAATGTTTAAAATCCTTGTGAATATTGTTAAAATAGTAACTGGTATCCAGCGGTATCACCAACACTCGAAACAACTACATGTTCTCGTTTACCGAGTTTTTAATAGTTCTAATCGGTTATTGTTAAGGCGTGATTAATCTTACTAATACTATAAATGCGAATATTTAGATGGATGGATATTACAAGGTAACACAAGAGGTGTTCAATGGATCTCGATGTTTGACATAGATGTAGAACATAGTCTATTCGAAGTCATAGGCTACTATTTACTTCTTTTTAATTCCGAGCAGAAGGTGTCGCGGGTGACAACTAGTTGCCTAATATTAAAAGGTAAAACTCACTTAATTTAAATTCTATAAGGTACTTACACAGGAATGGGTGTAAATTTTCTATTCCAATAATCAGTTTAGATAGTAATTACTGAAATTTATTTGTACTTCACAGCCACGCTAAATGTTCGAGGTTTGCAAATAGCCAATAAGTATATTTTAATGTCAAACGTAATCTAATCTAACAAATCAATGGTCTTCCCTTAGGAATAAATATCCAGTGACCGCTTAATAGCCAAGAACTGCAGCAGATCGGGGACTTTGTCTGCACCATCAATAAAGATTGCAAG